GGAGGTGTCAGTTGTGGGTGCAGGAAGAGGACCTGCTGGCAGCATCATTCACAAGCTGTTTGTGAATGCTCAGAGGGTAAGAGGGAGCTCTGGGTTGCTTTGCAGACACTTCTGATTTAAGCAGAGTGAAGCAATGATTTTTCATATGATGCCAGTGTATGTTGTCTGCACACGTGCATGTGTTGTCATAAATGTGCTTGAGGTGTTTTTTGTGACGTTCAACGTGGGTTTGGCAATAACAGAGCCTTGCAAGACAAAGGCAGAGTTCACTGATGTGGGATGTTAAACAGCTGAAGCAGCTGGGGAGACAGAGGTGTCATTAATGTCTTCAAATGGTAACCAGTAATGTTATGTTGTCATGGCACAGATTCCTGTCTCAGCAAGGACAGTCAAGGGTTGATTGTTTCACACAGGGACGTAGAGAAACAGGTCATAATATTCAATATTTTAGAAGGAGTAACTTTTTAGACTGGGGATACTTGGAATATACTTGGAATAACTGAGACTTCTGTGGAAACTGGCATGCTTAGCAAGTGTCAGCTCTTTGTCAGTAGGACTCTACATTTACTTACTTACTGCCAGTGTTGCATCTGTTTCCTGGAGCCCCTTCCCTTGCTGATGTTGATGCAAATGTTGCCTTTTTTCTCTGAAGCAGTGTTTGTAATAATAAGCCTTAAAGTATTGATTTCCAAACCTCATGGACTGCAGTCACCCTTTGGTTTCTGCTCACAGCATCGAGTTCTCTAACTAAAATTTAACTGCAGTGCTAATAACAAGGTAGCACAGTATGGCAGACATCTTAGAGCCTGACATTCCATTTGGGAATAATTGCTGGGAAAACACTGTGATTGGGTGTTAAACACTTCTAAGGTGTGGATGCCTTTGTAATAAACTGTGTTTTGCAACACAGCGTAAAAAGGACCATTCTGAAAACAGACCGTGGTTATTGTGAGGGATGAAAATGAGAACATTTAATTTATCCTTCCAGTCTCTAGGGAAGAGCTGCTTGCAAACCTCAAGGTGCCAGCCAGCCTGACTTACAGCCCTGTCAGTGCCTGCACACCTGTGCACTTGGCTCTTTAACACTGGGGCAGGGTTTCAAAGCTGAGGTTTCCCGGTTAATGTCTGATAAAGATGTGTGTGCATTTCTAGGGGTTTGTTTGTTTTGCAGCTAAAGCAGGTTACAGATGCTTCCCACTAGGAGCTGGTCACTGTTCATTAGGATTTCTTGGTGTGACAGAAGCCAGCTTGCTACGAACCCCCCTTTGTGTGTCATCTGCCATGACTTATTTAGGTAGAGAGCTGTTGGGTAAACAGAAGTTGAATGAATTCCTTGTTCATGATCCTGGACTCCTCTCTGAGTCGTGTTTAATGTGTTATGTTCTCAGATTTTCTCAGGAATATTGTGGTAGCCAGTGCATGCTCTTGGAAGTAGAGTGCATGATGTCTCTTAAACCTGCAGTCTCCTAACCTCTTGTAAGTCACCTCTGACTTGCCTTTGTTTCTGTCTTTCATCACTGGTTCTTTTCTCATCCCTTTCCAAGCTGACTGAATCTTCTGATGAGGTAACCAACTTTGTCCCTCCTTTCCCACTCATCTTCCCAAGCTGCATAGAGTTGAACCTTCTGATAGAGCTAGTACAGCAGCTAGATTTAGTTTGTACTGTTGTTCGTGTATTAAGCATAAAAATAACTTTGTGTTTCCAGAATGGTTTTTTCTGCATTCACAGACTTTATTTTTAGAGCATAATAACAGGTAGTGAAAAGAGAGTGAAATCTCTCAATAAAAAAACAAAAGCAACAACAACAAAAACAAACAAACCCGTTCCCAAACCAAACAAAAATGCAAACAAAAACATTTCTTCAAGTGAATATTGATGTTTTCTGATGCTGAAATATGTGACCATGCTTTATATTCTCTTTTGCCATCACTATTTGTTCGTTGAGCAGATGTTTTGGGGGGATGGACGGTCCCTGGGTTTTGCATTCTTGATACCAGGACTTACTGAAACTATGGAACTCTTTGTACAGTGAGATTTGGGGAAGAACTGGGGTAATTCCACAAAGTGCAGCACAGGGAGCATCCTCTCTGTTGGTTTCCTCGAGCTGTTCTTGTGGGAACAAGTGGTGCTGTGTCCATGGTGAATTCTGTGGCACAAACTGCAGAGCCAAGTAGTGCCAGGACCCCCACTCCTCAGTGTGGGAGAGGGTTGGGAGCAGAGGGGCGGCTCTGAGGGACCGTGAGGGTCATCCAGAGGTTCTGCCAAACCTCAGTGACAGTGCCAAGCTGGAGCTGTACATGCTGAAATTGGGCAGGACCCTGTTGGAGTGCTGTTAGGGGGGTGTATCCAGAGGTGTATGTGACTAGGGAATGTTCACTGGGCAGGCCAGCCCTTGTTGCAGTGTGCAGGGGCAGTGTTGCTGTTGAGTGTGAGGCAATGAGCACCGGGGGAGGTGGTTCAGATGCTGCCTTGCTCTGCTCTGCACTCCCCCCGCAGCCGGTGTGAGTCTGCACAGGCAGGTGACGGTCAGGACTGCAGTGGTGGTACAGATGATTTTGGAGAGGAGGCTGGCCTGGCCTCCCCAGGGAGCTGAGGAGGGGCCGTTCCCGCTGCTCACAACCCTCACTCGCACTGCCGGAACATCAGGAGCTTAATCCGGGCTGAGCTTCCCCACCCACACGTGCAGGTTCTTCCATCTGGTTCCGTGCGCTTTGTGTCTCGGCATCCCATCGGCGCCCCGCCCTGCGCGCACATAAAGCCCGCTGGCGCGTTCCATTTCTGGCCTTCCTCTGCTCCTCCTCAGAAGTATTTTCCGCGTGCCTGGAGGCAGCGGCCGTGCGTGTCACCGTGCCTGTGCTCTGTCCCCAGGTCCCGGCGGTGCCGCCGCTGGAGGAGGAGCTGCGGCGCTCGGGCTGTCCGGAGGAGCGCAGGCAGGGGGTGCAGTCGGAGTTCCCCCCTCCCACGGGCCGGGAGGTGATCCTGCGCTCGGCCGTGCCCCGGCCCGCGCCCTACTCCAAGGCGCTGCCGCAGCGCATGTACAGCGTCCTCACCAGGGAGGATTTCCGCCTGGCCGGAGCCTTCTCCGCCGACACCACCTTCTTCTGAGCCACCGGCCCCTCATCTTCCGTGTCCTCACAGCAGCGCGGGGCTCGCTCCCGCGGCAAGGGAAGGAAGGAAGGAAGGAAGGAATGCTGCAGATGGACTGGCTGTGCTGAGGAGACACCGCGTGCACTGTTCCCGAGGACTGGAGTTGGCAGCCCTGAGGGGTGCCTGCAGCAACTCAGCTTGGAGGTTTGGAACGGCTTCACAAGTAGTTTCAGTCAGATCTTCGGGAAAGAAAATGTAGCAACCTCCTTTCTGCCCAAAGGGAGCATCTTTTCTTTTCTTCGCATTAGCTTGGTTAATTATGGACGTGAATGGGCTGTGTGCAAATATTCGTGTTGAAATTCCTACAGAATGTGCTGCTCTGCACTTCTGGATCAAACTTTATCAGGTGACATTAGTCTACTTAAATTGATCTAAAAACATAAGTAATTTATATTTATTGCTAATCATAATTACAGAGCCCAGTATGTTTTGGTTAATCACTACATTTCAAGTACTTCTAAAAGACCCTTATTTTTATTTAAAGTATATGCTACACTGTAGTTCATGCCAAGCCTTCCTGGCATTGCAGTTGTTGTCCAAAAAGATCTTGTCGCTTCTCCCAAACAGGAATAATGACATTTGGGGCTAGAACTGGACAGTGAGCCTGAGAGCCCACACGGATGGTTTGGGGAACTTTATCCCCTTCCCTGGTGCAAGGGCCAGAGCTGTGTGAAATGACCCCTGCAGAGGTGTCTCACTGTGAGCAACCTGCTGGTATCTCCAGAGGCTGTTTGCCTGCCCCGTGGCTTTGCTGTGAGGATGGAACATTCTGTCACCTGCTGGCCCCTCACCCCCCCGGTACCGTCAGACACCGACGTGTTCGTGCCAATGTTGCTTCACAGTGACCTTCATGTGTTGGATGAGAATCAGCAAAAAATCAGCATCACTTCACACAACGAAATGTACAAACAGCTACAGTATTGTGGACATTACTCAATAAATATGAATTTATTATTGGCTCCCAGTATTCCCATGCTTTTCCATTCCCTCCCTGCATGATAATCTGACCCAGGAAGGACATTGTTTAGACTGTGACTACATGATGTGTAGAGAGTGGAGTTCTGCTGACAGTAGGGTCCCAGTGTTGCCCTAAAGCTCCTTTGAGGGGACAGGGGTCAGAGTGTTTTCCTCAGATAATGCTCTAGCAAGTAGAAATGCATTTTTCAGGATGAAGAGGCGTGAATTTTCTTCAGGGAAAGTGCTGTCACGGAATTTGTTCTCTAGATGGTTTGTGTGAGAAATTCCTCTGGCCAAGGGGTAAGTAAGATGAAGACCAGTGGAGTTGCTGTTTATCTGTGTAGCTTCTTTAAAAGAAAGCGCACTGGGCTAATTACTGATTAACTAAACTTTAACTTCAGCTTCTTCCCTGATCCCCTTGGTTTCCTCCTCTCTAACCACATTTTACACTGCAGTGTGGACTCTTGTAAAGGCTGTATAAACTTAACAATCCCTCACACTTACTTGGTCCTTTAAACTGCTGGAGAGATCATTCCTTTATTATACTCAGGCACTACAAACATCATCCAGTGGTTTTTTTCAGGCTGTTACCCAAAGGTGTCTTTATTACCTAAAAGCATCTTTGCTGGAAGTGTCCAGTGAGTTTGACTCTACAGAAAATGGTGCAGTTATGCAACTACCTTGTCTTAAACATTCCTTTTGGCAGTAAAACATTTATAACTTCTACGAATTTTTCTCAGCAGGGTAACTTTTCAGCTTATTTTAACTAGATGGAGTTGAAATTTCAGCCACATCCTTTCAGAAGACGTGATGTGTTGTGCCCAGCTGTGCTTTAGGAGCTTACAACTGCCTGCCACTGTTCCAGGGGGGAGGAGAGACAGAAGAAAATCACCAGGAAAGAGAACTGTATTTATTTAAAGTAACTGTAAAGAAAGGCAGGTAAGCAGTCCAAAATAACCAGCAATCTTATTAAGGAAAATGTGACTGTAGCATTTCCCAGAAACTACCTTTGATGTCATAATTGGTAATATTTAGTATTCCTTATCATGAATAAGATTTAATACAAGCTGGGTTAAGTAAAAAACCAGCATCCAAGTGCCATCAGTTCTAAATGCCAAAGTCCTGTAAGTCAGGCTCAGTGCAGTGAGGTTACATGCTGAAATTTAGCTTTAAGCCACAGGGTCATGAAGATATGACCATAATCAAATACCTTGGATGCCCTCTGACCATCAGTGGTACAAATGATTCCTTGGTTTTAATTCCATATTTTCTCCTCTCTACCAGCAGCACTGATGAGCTAAAGAGGTTCCTGTTGAATCAGTGCATGAGGAAAAGTGTAGAACTGTACTGGGTTTAGTGTTACATTATACCTGAAGGGATTTTGCATTTTACATCTTCACAAAAAATTTGGTGATGTCACAGCCATACTTTGTAGCCAAAGACCTTCTTTTCAGTTGGCTTCTCTCCTTGGCCTGCTTGGCAGTTCTCTGCAGAGAGAGAGACAGGTCTGTCAGTGAGTGGTGAGACTTGGCACCTCTGTGCCCAGGGAAATCATCAGCCCACAGCTGAACTCCAGGCTGATTTTGCAGCGCACAGCATAATAAAATGCTGATTTTTATTAAGGTGGCATTTTCCCAAATCCTGAGCAAACTGCCATATTATAATAGTTTAATGCTGCCTTTCCACCTTTGCCGTGTGGGAGGGAGGGGCTGAGGGCAGGGGGGTTCTGCAGGGCTGGGGAGGAGCCTGCCTGCAGTCTCCTGCTGCTGCTCCAGGGCAGAGGGCCAGGATTCCTGGCCCAGCACACTGACCTCCCTGTGGCAGGCTGTGCACAGAGTCTGCAGGTTGTCCAGGGAGCACTGTCCCCCTCCGCTGAACACGGGCTGGATGTGATCCACCTGCCAGAACTGCCCCTCCGCCGGGCTCCGCAGCATCTCGTTCAGCTGCAGCAAACACAGGACAGGGCAGGGGGGTGAGACACTCCTGAGCTACATCTGCACACCACAGCAGAACAAGGACAGGCAGGGCAGTAGCTATTTATACTTTTCATCAGGAAAAACAAAGCCAGCCTTAGCATTTTTCAGTTACTCCCACCGGACAAGCAAACAAGTGTAAGAAGTTGGCATGTTCTCAACCCAGCCTGAACTGTACAACCAGCCCTGGTATTTACATTCATCCTACAGTCAGAACTTTGATGCCTGTGCCTTTTAGAGATGAAAAATCTGTTAAAAGACAGTGGGATAGAAAAATCTGTTAGAGGTCAAGGGGATTCAGTTTGTTTTTAAGGACTTGTTTTTTCTTGTTCTGTTGTTCATGCTGGGTTGACTTTCTATCTGAAATTTGTCGAATGCCTGTGGGTTTCTCTGAAGTGTCTGTGCCCAGATGAGCTGTAACTGCACCCCACAGTTACCTGCCCCAGTGGGAGGTGGGACATCCACGAGTTTTCCAGCAGTTCCTTGCGCCGACTCCGGGGGCGTCTCTGACGCTGAGATAAAGCTCCTGCGCGTTTTGGTGGCAGGACTGGCAAACCCCGCGCTCCACTTCAAACACTTTGGCCCTGAGGTAGCTCTGGCTGGAGCGGATGGAGAAATCCTCCTGGCACGCGTGGGAGCAGAAGCGCGTGTCCCAGGCGCGGCTGGCGGGCGAGAGGGGGGCCGTGGGCTGCTGGCAGCTCAGGCACAGCGGGGCCCCCTGGCTGTCCAGGGCCTGCAGGTACCCTCGGGGCCGGGGGGAGCCGTCACTCTGCGGGCAGTGAGGGACTGAGGGACCTCCTCCTGCGTCTGAAAGCAACCTGTTGGCAGAGCACAAAGCCCAGCTGTTGGTAAAGGAGGGATTGAGCCCCACCGTTCAGTTTTATGCACCGTGTCTGCTCTGCTCTGAAGCAGCAATTTTAGACTTGACACCTGCACTCTGCAAACCCTCCACCTGCTTTACATCTGCACTTGGACAGCATTTGAGAATGTAACAAGGCAGATTTTTCTTCTGCATCTCTCACTACATTTACAGGTGTGTACATGAGCTGAAATGATACTGTATTCATAAAAAAGGGTGGGGTTTGTCAGGCATAGACACATATAAAGGTAAAATGTTTCAGCCCCCCTTTAACAGAAGTAAAAAAGTCAAAGGAAACCTCCTGCTTTCTCTTTACAGTCTCTGTGGCTGCTTCTTGCTTTCCTGCTCCAAACAAGGCAGGACACATCGCACTTGTGAAAAAAAAAAATTTAAATGGCAATTTCTGTCCCAGAATTTTCATATTAATTTCTGTCTTTTTCTAAATTTTGAGGCCAAATAGAAGAAAACTTGACGTGCTGAGCTTGCTGTGGACCCCACAGGCAGGCTCAGCTAACATTCTTTTTTTCTTTAACCGAATCATTGTTTTGTTTTAGTCAGCCTCAGTTAATTAGCAGCTCTGTCTGCAGACATCAGATATAATCTCAATTGTTATAAAAACAAAGCCCAGCTCATTAGCACTACAGCAAGTTTCCCATGTAACTCCTGCACTCCAGCAAGGCAGACACTCAGCAAACAATTTTACTACCTCAAAAAAAACCAAACCAAGGCTGTGGAAAAAGAGCTTAATCACCTTATTGCACTATTAAACCTACTTTGGGGGTTGTTCAGCAGGAGCATTTTCTTTCTTAGGAGCAGCCCCTTTCCCTGGAGCACTTTCCCTGCAGATGAGGCGGACGCTGCCCCCGGCGCTGGCGGCTTTGGAGAGCGAGGCTGCTGCCACATCCTCCCTGCTCACGTACCTGGGAAAGGCAAAGCGTCACAGAGGGACCATCTCCCTCACAGAGTGTTCACTCTTGGCTGCTGCAACACTGGAACAGCACATTGGATCAATCTTGAAACATTCCTCATTTTCTGGAGGAAAAATGAATAAAGTTTGGGGAAAGAAAATTCCCCGCACTTCTTAATTAAATAGAAATATCTTTCTCTAAACCCGAATTCTAACCAGCAAACAGCTAACTTGGTTTGTGTGTAACAATTAAAAATGACAGCAATTTGATATTGTCATTTAAAAATGACAGGCACTTTGTTCCAGGCAGGTGAAGTCTCAGTGACACTCTGGATAATCCTGGAATCTTTACAAGCTCGGGAGGACTCTTTGCTCTGCTAGTTATGTTTGAACTCACTCCTTCATTTCCAAGTGAAACCACACAAACTGCTCTAAAGTAAAACCTTTTAAATCACTTCACTCTAACACCCTTCACAGATTTTTCCCACATTTCATGGAAGGACACAATCAAGGGGTTAAGAAACACTCGGAGAATTTAACAAACTTCCTGCAGCAATTCCAGTTAGAGGACTTAAAACTAAACCCCACATACCTTTTTGTGCTGCTGCCACCAGACTGCTTTTTAGACAACTCCTCTGCAGCATGAACAGGACTGTAAAATATCTGACCACTTTTTCTGACAATCTTCTGCTTCATTGCTGTCAGCTGAGTCCATTCTTTCACAAACCTCAGGATCTGGCAGAGAACATGACTGTCAGCAGCAGGACAGGCACTACACAGAAACAATTCCACTAGAGAGTGCTGGGATTAGTGTGTTCAACACTGGCTGAAAACAGCTGCCACAGCCAGAGAGGGTCCCTGCAGGTCATTCTGCATACAAACTGCAACCCCCTCCTCACCTGCTGACACAGTCAAAGGGCAACACTTTGAGCAGTTTAACTTGCCCTTCATCTTTCCCAGAAATCTCAAATTGACACGACCACAGGATCCCGAAGAAAAACTGATGAAACTGCTTAACAAAGTATTTCAGAATGGAAATAGAGACTGGAGCATGATATTGGTCACCTTTCCTTGTTCTGCATTTGGAATTTGAGAGTACAATGAAATAAAGAGACTCAGAGGAACTTCATTTCTGGTACTGAATCAAACAGTTTTCTTACAGGCTGGGAAACCACAAAAAAACCCCAAACCTTTGAAGCTGTAAACTGGCAGGACTGGCATGACTGATTAATGGATTTCCTCAGTAACATAATCACAGAAAACACTGAGGAACTGAGGGAAAAACTGCCCTGCACAGGAATTCAGGATTTCTAACATGGCTCTTTGCTTTAGGGTGCGTGTAGAGGAAAAATTATTTTATCCCATTCTCATTTCTCCAATAGAAAATAAATGGGAGTAACAATATGACAATTGAACAAGTGGCTTGGTGGGGTTTTTTTCCCCTTTCCATTTTTCCACTCTGTTCCCCACTGAGGTGGAACTGCCCACCACAGCCAGGGCCAGGCTGTCTGTGAACACAGCTGTGGGAAGAATAAATCCATTGGCAGTATGGACTTAGCTGGGACTCCAGCTCCATCCAGGAACAAACTTCCACATTTCAAGCTGACAGTGATTTTCTTTGTCTCCTTGGGGTATTTTTCCATGGCAAATGTAAAACTGCCCAGAAGACTCTCAGCTCCTCAGAGCTGGAGCAGCACCAAAGAAGTCAGTGGAACAGCAGGACACCATGGAAACAGAAACAGAAAGTATTTCCGTGATTCTTCTTAGGAACGTTGACCAATATGGATCTTCCTATCTGGAGCAGAAGGCTGAGGGACAGGAAGATCCCTAAGGGACAGGAAGATCCATAAGTGCCACCCACTGCCCCTGGAATTCTTAACCCAGTCTAACAAATGGCTTTCAAATCCCTTGGCAACATTTGTGGATCCCCCTCATTTGCTGCCTCCCAGAACAGCTGGTTCGATCAGCCACGTGTCCCTCTGACAGATGGAAGTTCCAACCTTGTTGGAGAACCTACAAAAGGAATCTCTTTGTTCCTACACAACACAATCTGATTTCCCAAACAGAAAACTAAGTGAAGCAGATAATATTTCACATCTGGATTTCCTTCCCTGAGCACTGTGTTTGCAGTGTTACTGTGCTCCTCAAACCCCATCATCAGTGGGATCTTTAGTCCTGAATTAACTGAACGTGTCAGTGGAGCTGGGCCTGGCACTGCTTTGGGAATTGTTACAGACCAAGGGAAGGGTGAGAGTGCAGCCTGCTCAGAACTGCAGCCCTGGGACAATCCAGAACATTCTTGTTCCTGGTGTGCTCCAATCAGAGCCCTCCCAAAGCTGTTCTGTTGACTTATCAATGTTGGTTACTAATCCTGTAAAGGAGAAATTGCATTCCCTGGCTGATTCCCTCCAGGACACGTGAACAGGAGCAGGATAATTTGCCAGAGTGCCAGACTGCATGGTTAATATTCACATCAGCATCCCTAAGATCTGCTTGCTGGGATGGAGCTGTGCCTCGATCCCAAGGCCTGAAATTTCTGCATTTATTTTTTTAAGAAGTCAGTCAAATTCCTCGGCATTAAACATGATATTGCTGTGCCAGTGGAACTCGTTCTTACCAGAGCACGATTTTTTTTATGCTGGAAGGTCTCTGGTAAATCTTCCCAGTTATCCAGCTGAATGTCCAGTGGAATGAAGTTATGATTCAGGGGCTCCCCATCCTAGGCAAGCAAACAGTTTTGTTTACAGATGCAATGTAGCACAGTCTAGGAGAAAAACAATCTGTTCCAAGTGAATTCTCCTCCCTTCCTACTCAGTTTAGTGCCTCAGGGTCAGAACAAACAATAAGGCACAGAGGGATGATAACAGCACAAATACAAGAAACATGATTCACATGGTAAAAAGGCTGAAAAATTTAACTTTTAATATAACTGATGTTTTTTCTTTGCAAACAGTTCAGCCACATGAACTGCCTTACATTAAGAAACTGAAATTATAATCCTCTTGACTGAATTTCTAAGGGAAATGAATGATTGTAGACTGAGAATGTCACTTCATTACACTTTAAAATCAGGATTCTCAGGCATTGTTTATTATGTTGAACTTTTTTTTTCAATGTCTGAAAAAGTTCTCCACTTAATTTTTAAAGCCACAATCTCTATCAAGCCTAATAAAAATGTATTATCTCAGAGCCTTGCCCTCAGTTATCTGGGCTGCTTTGCAGCTGCACCTGAACACACTGACTCACTCACTCTGTAATTGGAAGAAATCTTCCCAGGGAACTTTATTATCACAAAAAAAGAAGAAATTGGAAAGTCCTGACTCCCCCTTGAACAGTGACCTGGAAAATTCCTGACTGCTGGTTTGTGTTCCCACCAGCACTGCAGATGAATGAGGATGTGCCTTATTGAGGGAGTTACTGACTGACAGCACCAACGCTGAGCTTCCTGACAATGTGGGGACAATGTTTGATTTACTTGGTCTGTCAGGGTTCACTGCCATTTTTATTTTAATCTTGCATGGTGTTCTATTAAAATTATTTTGTGAGAAGACACTAATAATGAAACAGGAATCCAAACCAACCATCACTGGCATTTCTAACAATGATCTAATGCATCAACCCAATTTGTAAGACAAGAGAAGTGCTAGAAGTTATGTATCAAGGGAATTATTACTTAATTATTACTAATAATTACTTAATTCCACTGAGAAAAAAACAGCTGGAATGATAAACTACCTCATTTTTGTCCATGTCAGCTCATGCAAAAATATTGCTCCTTTTACATCAAACATAACAACTGAGAGCACACAGACTCATTTCAGTGGGCAGCATTTCCCTTTGCAATGTTAAAGTGACAATAACCATGCATATTGCAGGTTTACCTTTGTATACAGGTGGATTCTGTCAGTGTTCCTGCTTGCACAAAACATGAGCCCATCATATATTTGGAATGTGTCTGATTTATCTTCATCCCCTGTGAAGAGAAAAGATGTTGACATTAAGAAGTTTTTTCTTCCGTTCTTTCTACTCTGGCATTAAAAATAATACACCATCAAAATTCCATAAATGTCCCATGCTACACCAAGACAGTCACGTGCCAGTGCCTGTACCCATGTCTGTGTTTCAGAGGTGGAAGTTTTATTTAAAAGCCCCAGGCATTTAATTCCATTCCCAGCAGGACACAACCATTTCACAGGAGCCCCACTTTACCTTCTCCACACTTTTTTTCACGGTCTCCATCCTGCACTTGGCCCAGAGCTTCTGTCCCACCCTCAGCACTGCCCTGTGCTCTCTCCTCCTTTCTCCTGGGGCTCTCTGACACGTCCTCCTCAGTTTGGCTCGTGGCAGCTTCACAGATTCTCTCAACTAAAGATGAAGAAATCAGAAAAGTGGGGATTTACGTTGCCTGAACAGGTACCTCATCAACACCCCTCTGGAGACAGGGCCATGTCACTGAAGTACAAAGAAATGGCATTTTATTCTCTGATATGACTGTGGTGCAACCCCTCAGGAAACTGGAGGTAACTTTGTTCCATGTGGTTACTCCCTTAGAACTAAAGTTTTTCATTTCTGCAACCTCACACCCCCCAACTTCATGTCAAAATACATAAAATAAGTAATCCAGGTAGCAATTCTATATTATATACAGCCTTTGTATGCCACAAACTCACAGAGCAGTTTTCCAGGCATTGATTTACACCTGGAAAATTCAGAAGTTGTCCTTACTCGAACAAGCACAAAGACTTAAATGTAACAAATTAAAAAAAAAATAATAAAAGAACCTTACTCCTTCATTTACAACTGAAATGACAAATATGGGCACGGAGTTATAAAAATGTCTCATCAATTTTTCCAGATAGCTGGACAAAAATTTAGTGCAAGAAATCTCCTGTGAGCTGCTGGAGAGAAAGAGAAGCCCTGTTTTAACAGATAACGTCTCTCGTGACAAATACACAGTAATAAAGCTAATAAAACACTGATAGCACGTTGCTCAGTTTTGAAAGGGGAATAAAAAAGGTGTGAATTTTCTGGGGTGAGTCCCCAGGGGAAGGAGAGATGCCTGCTGTGTCCCACACTCACCGTCACCGCTCCGTGGGTGGCCGCACATCTCACAGGAAGGCAGCAGCTCGTGGTTGGTGTAGGTGCAAACCCTGCAGTGCCAAGCTCTGTCTACACCTGTGCTGTTGGTGCAGGTGTTTAAGCCACGAGGAGGGGGTTCACTGTTTTTTTCTGAAAACACAGAGGGCTTTTCTCCAGTCGGAGAGGTTTTGTTTTTGTCACTGCCGCTGCCCAGGGCGGATCCGCTCGTGCTTCTGGCTCGTTTGGCTTCACGTTCACAGGTGATCTCAGGGCAAACGGGATCCCCAGCATTTCCTGGTGGGGAATCCAGCTTCTCATCCCTCTTCTCTGCTTCCTCCTCTTTTGTGGCCTCAGAAGACTCTGTATCATTCTGTAACAATTCACTGCCAGGAAGTCTTTTGCGTTTCTTCTCCGTGGAGGACTTTGGGGAAAAGAAGGAACGGATGTCGTGCTGCTTTTCCTTCTCAAACTAGGAGAGAAAGAGAGAATTATAGAGTCATGCAGATGGCCTCTTAACCCCACTTGTGACTGCATCAGGTGGTGTCAAAATTATTATTTTTCTCCATTAATATTCCCCTCTAATACAAGCAGCTGTTTCTGCTTTGAGGACAGAAACAAAAGATCCCTTCCTTTAAGACCAAACTGTGATTAGAAAAAGCAATCCAACATTTCTCTCCTGTTCTGTGAAAAGTATTTTCATAATTCTCAGGAAAATTCTGAAATAGCACTACCACCAGAAAATGAATACACAGAACTGGTATATTATATAAAATGGATTTTAGGGTAATTTTTCCTACTTATTTAGTGTTTCTCTCTTAGTAAGTTTGCAGTGCACAGAAAGCTCCAGCAAACAACAGATTTTTTTTTTAAATGAAATGAAACAGAAGAAGCAAGTCTTACGTGTGTAAATAAAAGTTCATTTTTAGGATCTTCCAGACTTTCATTTGGGGTCCAGGTCTCAGCAAAACTCAAAAAATCCCATTTCTCCTTGTCCCCTTCCTCAGCCTGCATCTTCTCCTTCCTGCCATTCAGGGTGCTGCCTGTGACTTTGGCCTGCAGAGAAACAACTGCACAAAGTTTCCCAGGAATTCATGCCTTGGGAAAAACTTAATTCACCTGTAACCACTCCATCTGCTTCCCCTGCAAACCCAAGTCAGCGTTTGCAATGGGCTGAACTGCTGTAATTCAGAACAAGTGATTAAACCTGTTCTTCCTTCAGCATCCATGTGTGCAAGAGTGATGCCAAGTCCTGTATTTAACACAGTCTGAGTATTGAAACTGTACACAAAATGTCAGTTTTTATTAACTTAAAGGAGAATATATGATTGTGTACATCTCTCACAGTCTTAATATTGTTTTACTTGGCATGTGGAGACAAACAAAGGCAGAATTAATTGAAAGCAGCAGCCCAGTGACAGAACTGGCGAGGTAAATTGTTGTTGAATTACTGAGCCCCATCTGTGCCATGTTTAAGGAGACTCATAATGTACCAGACTGACAGATGTTTCCAGAGGTACCTCCAAGCAGCAGAGCACAGAACTTCATTCCCCAGCTGAATGCCAAGCACAGTTTGCAGCACCTGGATTCTTTAAGCAGTGGTTATTTTTCTGAGGAGGAGGAATAAACTGGCAAACAAATGGGCACCAGTTTCTCCCTGCAGCAACTGTGGAGAACAAACCAACAGAGCCACAGGGGCAGCCAAAGGCAGGACCCACAACCAGGAGCTGCCCTTTGCATCAGAAAGAACCCTCTGTGATCACAGAGCCAAATGATGCTGACACCGGGTGCTCAAAAGGCAGTTCCTTCCCCAGTGACACCTGTGGCAGTGTCAGAACACAGGAGCTCACAGAGCACTGGCACACCTCAGGTACCAAGACGAGACACTGATGAGTGGTACCAAAGGCCACAAAAAGGTCACAGAAGCAAAACAGTCAAATTCTTTTTCTTAGTCCTGTGAACTGTCCAAGATCTTCCCAGTAAGGGAAAAAAAAAGCAGACTGGAACTATCCCAGCTTTACAGTGACAGAGGGCAGGGATAGATGGGATATCAGGAAGAAATTCTTCCCTGGGAGGGCAGTGAGGCCCTGGCACAGGTTGCCCAGAGAAGCTGTGGCTGCCCCATCCCTGGAAGTGCCCAAGGCCAGGCTGGATGGAGCTCTGAACAACCTGGGCTAGTGGAAGGTGTCCCTGCCATGGCAGGGGGTGGAACAGGATGAGCTTTAAGGTCCCTTCCAACCCAAACCATTCCGTGGTTCTAGGATTCCCAACAACAACTGGGTAACACCGGTGGAAAATGGCAACAGAAAGTAAGGTCAGTGTAATCTGGGATCTGCTGAAGAATTACCTGAGAATGCCTCTGCCTCTCAGAAAGGAAGTTTAGTTCAGGCACAACACTCATTCAGTTAAAAGGAAAACCATATCGAATTCCAGTTGTTACGGGTGAGCAGAACACCTTAGAATTGTAAACTGAACCAACCAGAGCAACAAACGGCTGGAAGATAAATCCACCACCCCCTGCAGATGTGAACCACCCCATCAGCTCGGCCAAGCGCTCCCTGAACCACAGGGGGTGGTTCCTGGTCCCTTGGCTCCTGCCCACACCCACCTTGCGGTTGAGCATCGCCCACATGAGGGTGTCCATGGTGCCCTTGGCGATGAGGAAGTGGATGTTCACCGAGCTGCTCTGCCCGATCCTGTGTGCCCTGTCCTCTGCCTGCTGGATGTGGCCTGGGTCCCAGTACAGCTCAGCAAACACCACGTGGGTGGCAGCAGTGAAGGTTAAACCCTAAGCAGAACAGGTAGGTGCATTTTAGAACAAAGGTTCCACGCACAGGCAACTGATTACCTGAAGCAAAAGAAAGCTAAAAGGTTGTACAGGACATTTTTATAGGGAAGAAAGAGGGGACACCTCGACAGCAGATGGGCCTGTTATACTGATTTCTACCTTCAAAAGTCCTTCAAAGACTGCCATATTGCTTTTCATTATGGAAGCAACACTTATTTCCTATTAATCTGGAATTTTTAATGAAATGGAGTTTTTCCTGATTATTCAAGAATGACATGCTGCTGCTTATCATCATTTTCCCCAAGTCATTTCAACAGAGGCTTAAAACAGTGAATGTGATTAGTGCAAAAAAAAATGAATACCTGAGTCTGCAAAAGACAAATTGCGTGAAGATAAATTGCCTTCATTAAATCACTTCAGTCACCAGTGACTCCAGTACCTATAACCCTCTAGCACATTATTCACCCTACCTGCCCAGCTGCCTGAATACTCAGAATAGCAACCCTGGTGTCAGGATCCTTCTGGAACTGATTGACAAGGTGAATCCTCTCTGCAGAGGGGACACTCCCGTCTATCCGAATGTAGCGAGCCTGTAACATCAGAGCAGACACAGAATGACATTGTCAGGGGCTGGTTTGGATCCAACCCCCCTCTGTCCCCCAGGAAAACCATGGAAAGAGCTGTTCTGTTCCTGGGATACATCAGCTGGAGTTACAATCAAGCCTCCATCTAGATAAGTGTAGGCTTAGTATTCCCTGGTTACAGAAGCAGAAGACAGAACAAACAAGGGATCTTAACATGGAATATTCCACAGAAGAACCTGGAATTGCCCTGACACCCTTGATTAAAATTCCAAGCATTTAAAAGATGATAACAATATAAACCAGCAAAGTCAGCCAGCACTGCTAGCAAGAGTTGAGGGTCCATGATCAGAGTAAGGTGAAAGTTGTGTGCCAACAGGTTTACTGCTTTGAATGAAACATTCATGTGCTGTTAAAACCCCCAAAAAAGTAGACAGAGGCCCATTGGTAGAAAAAGTTGGGAAACAGCTGCCTACAGCACTGATTTAATAATAATAAAGTATCAGAGCAGAGAACAGTGTGTTCACATTAGACCACAGGATCCCTTTTAAGCAAGTGGCACTGATCTGCACGTGTGTAAACCCCTCAACTCCTGCAGCCATGTGCAGCTCTCCTGAGTTCAGACACGGCTCCTGTGTGTGTATTTGTGCATCTGAAGGAGCACACTTGTTCTCTTTACCTTGCTCTCTATGGCAGCCTCTGTGCAGGCCTGCAGCATGCTCAGGTGGTGGGCAAACACCAGGAACTTCAGCTTGTCATTCTCAAGCATCATTTTGATGTAATCCTTCACTGCTCCTGCCTGGAGTAAGAGAGTGTGTTTCATCTGAGCATCGTTATGTTCAAATAGACAGTTTATTTGAATGCCTTTTGATCCCTTGTAATAGAAAAAGGTAAATTTCCACACCTTTTGTTATCCACATTAAGACTTCATCAAACTCTAACATTGCTAAGTACAAAATGATTCAGATTTAAAAAAATGCCACCATTTGAATGCCTTTGAGAAACCCAACTCATTCCTTCAGAGTGAAAAAAATTATCCTGGAAACATCACATAATTACACGGCACTTCTTCTGATTAAGAGGTAGATAAACCCGTTTTTAATTACATTTATCTGATGTTCTAATCCATATTTGGAAAAAACCCAAACATATTTCAAAGGGACAAGGTAACGTTTAATCAGAACTTCTGCACCTGCACTGATGCAGATACCATCATTCTGATAACTTTCTGATCAGAAATTAATTCTGATACTTTCACGATACCATAATCATAAAACATTGCTCTGTGTAAGCATTCATAGAATCCTGTTGTGTCAAACACAGTTTTCAATATCTTTTACAAAAACTATGAAAGTAATTATTACAGTTAACAACAAAAGTGATCAGTGCTCAGTTAATGCAAGCCCCTGTTTTGCCCTGTGTGTTTGGGGAGTGTCTCTTGGATTGAGAAGAGCCTTCCACGCTCACCTTGGCGATGGCTGTCTCTTTGTACATCCGTGTGATCAGACTCATCACCTGAGAGAAGTGGCTCTCAGTGGCATCTGCATTCAGGTTTCTCATCAGTTTCTCCCACTCTGCAAAAGTGGCACTCAGGTTCTGGTTGGCAGAAGAGACCAGTGGTTACACACACAGGACAAAGCACCCTCTACCTCAACGTGCATGTTCCAAGTATGAAACGTTTGGGAACTGAGGGCTTTTTGAGAACTCTGCCAAATTTGGCTAAAAGGAACTGTAGGATTCAAAATCTATGGGAAAAGTAGACAGGAAAGAAGGCTGTACTAAAATAAGGATAAATTTTCTCTTTGATGCAAAAAAAATAGCTTTATAACATTCTTTCTGTTGTATTTTAAAGAGAATAACAGACATGTCGTGCTCTGTATTCACTCAGTCCTTGTAACTGCATATAATAACACTCAGGCACACATGTAAATGCAGATGGATACACAGATATTCCTATTTCCTACCAAATGTGCTGGTAGCACAAGTGTCCCAAAAATGTAGCCAAAATGTACCTTTGCTGCAGCCTGGGGGAGGTCAAAGGGGATGCGCTGCCTGACCTTGGGAGGCAGCTGAGTCAGAACCTCATTCTTCAGCCTTCTGATCATTATTGCACTTAAAAGTCGATGCAGTTCTTCTAAATTGGAAGCTCCTCTACAGTCCCACTGCGCTCTTTTCCCAAAAAACCTGGAAACGAATAAAAATCAACACCAGATCTTCCAAGTTCAGTGGAAAACTTCAGTACGGAATTAATCTTAAGACAGGCTGTTAGATACGAAACCGTGCTGGGTAACAACCCTTGGAGCTCCTCTTTGTGCCAGAGAGATGATTGTTTTCTCTCTGATTCCTTCCAGTGCTGAAGTCAGAGCTGCTTCAACTTCCCAGGAGACCCCACAATCCCCTGCTAACCCCACTGCACTGCCCTGTCCACGGGAGGCAGAAAATAGAGAAGAACATACCACCATGAGAATATTCTTTATTGCATTATGGGCAGGAAAGGCATCAGGAAAACTGAACCTATCACCATTAATATTCCTGTGTTTCCCTACCTGAGAATTCCTTCCTAGTTGCTGCCAGAGGATTTAAAGCTCAAGGTACTGTCCTTACATGTAATACTATTTAATGAAGGTGGTTCCGTAGAGGAAATAGGTTTCATGTCAAAAAGCTGAAGGTTGAAAGGAGAAAGAATTTATTAACTCAGTTTTCCTTATTCTTTCTTTGCTGTTTTTAAGGAAGGGTTGCAGCAGGAACTGCAGCTTTGCACTGTCAGCACTGCCAAGAGATCATCAAACAACAAAAATGAGATGGCTGTCCTTGTAAATAAAGGTCTCCTCCCTCCATCTCAGCACTGGGGATGCAACAGAAAGGGAGGCAAAACCTCCCAGGAGGAGTTTGGAGCTCACCTTGTCTATGGACACCTCAGTGAAAGCCCCCTCCAACATGAAATACATGCACAAAAGAGATCTGTGGAGTTTATAACCCCACAGGATGTTTGGGTTCAGCCAAGGCACGATGATAAAGTTATTCCCCAGAAGCCTGCCAACCCCTGAACTTGATTTTTATTGCATTTATGGCACTCCAAAAATAAGTAATCGTCTCTGATTGAGTAGCTACACCAGGCTGTGCCCACACACACTTGTGGTGTGAAGATTACAGATGCATTCAGTCAAAACACCCTGGAAAAAATAGCATTTCTCTGTCTGCAAATTAGGCAGTGCTCTTCCATGGTATTTGAAATGAAATACTGATAAAATGTGTATGATGGGGGGAGAAAAACAAGCTTTATGAAAGTGAAACCATGTCATTATTACTGTAAAAATTAAACCTAATTGCCAGCTAATTTACTTGACAAAATCTGTTATTTTGAATACATGCAAAGTTGGAGATAGGACATTTTTCAGCTAAGGAATTTTTTGAAAGGTTCTTCCCTTCTCGTGGCTTCCCACCTTCCAGATTGGAACACGGAGTCAGATGGGTAAAAGCAAGCATTTTAAATTGGAGCAGCTTCTATCCCCTCTGCTTCAGATCATACCTAGAGAAAGCATCATTCAAATCAAGCTGAGGGAAGCAAGTTGGGGGAAAGGAATCCTCCTTAAATTAATCACTCAAAGCACATGAAACCTGTGAACTCAGGAAAGATGCAAGAGAGAAAAATGGGTTAAAATCATGAGTTACATGGGTGGAAAAGTGTGTCACTGAGCAGTGTTACCACACAAATTGGAGGCAGGGTGTGGACAGGAACTGCACTGGATCCCCCCAAACAGAATTACAAACACTGCTGTGCTTTGGGCAGTTTTATTCACTTATTTTTACTCAGTAAAGCTGTAAAATAAAGAGATAAGTATTGGTACCTTTTTTTTTTCCCACTCAGGCATAACAAAAAACCTGGATCCCACGATAAAGGGGGATATAAATTATTACGTGAGCATAAGACTGAGAGTCAAAAACTCCAGGGCTAAAGGCAAAACTTCATACTAACAAAAGTAAATGTGTAAATAATTTTACTTGAGAGAATGCTGGCACTTAAACTGTATTTCAAACTTTAGTAGCTTTCACTTTTATTTAACAAAAGTGGAATTTATTAATTTAAGAAGTGTAATCCTTTTCCCAATCCTCTTTGATGGAGCAGATGGTACCTGACCCTGGGTTTCCAAGCAGTACAGAGGTAATACCTACCGATTATCTCACTTGACATGACAAGAAAAATCACAGAAATAATAATAATCAAAGAGATCAGAAAACAAATAAGCAATTCCAGTAATACCTGACACGAGCATTGCAGTATTTTTTAGCATATTCAGTCCAAGTCCCAAATCTTCTTGGAAACAGGGCCTCAATCTGCATGAAAAGCTGTATCAAAAAAACAAACAAACAAACAAACAAAAAAACCCAATCATGAAATTATACAAAGGTATTACACTTTCTAACTTCAGTTACTATATCCCAGAGATACAAACATTTGTTTTCAAATTTTAAGCAAGCATTGGTGACACAGCAAGCCCTTTTCCATACAGTGGGTATCTTTCTCGAGTTATAATCTCTCTGAACAAATTAAATCATTAAAGGGTCTTGGCAGAAGTTCTATTTACGCAGAGAGAAACTCTAAAATGTACAGTATTGTTTGTTTAACTCTTACAAGTTCTCTGGATACAAATCAGCCCTTATATTTCATTTATTTCTACACTTGAGAAATAAAGGCAGTTTTCTTGGGGTCAGTGGAAAAAACCAAGTGTTTTCTGGTTTCCTCTCTGCTCCCCCCTAACTGCACAAGCTGAACTTCCTTCAAAAGAAAAACTGTCTTTTTGGACTGTAACAAGCAGTTTTATATTTTTTATATATTTTTCCCCTTATGTGAACATCAGGAATATTCCTACATCAGATGATGAAGCAGAAGATTTAATACAAGCTCTTGTCCCCCAAAGACTCTCCCACCCCGAGGAAACAAACAGTTCTCTACTCAGGGTCTTTATTTTCCGTTTCACCCAACAATCTGTTGCTACCTGTGAGATTAATTTCTTACAAGAAGCACTGTCTCAAGTCACAAGCTTGAAATAAGTTTGTAAAGCCAACTGAAACAAAAAGACCTTGGTTTAGTTTCCTGTACCTGTGCCTCCCAGTGCAGCTCTGGATGTCACGATGCAAACTGTATGCACTCCAGAAAACTACAGAACCCTTCATTTACTACTGACACCACCCTCATAAAAACCCTAAACCACAACACAGGACATCCAATACCTCTTCAGGCCTCCCCAGAGCAGGGGTGCCAGTAAGAAGAACAGCTCTCTGAGCCTGCTGCACGATTGGCAGTAAGATCTGGCTGCGGGTGGCGTTCCTGGATTTCATGTAGTGGGACTCATCGACCACAACCACCCTGAAGTTCTGCCTGTACAGAGTGTCTGTCAGAGTCTGTGCATCAGAAGTTAACAGGCCATAGCCCAGGATCGTTACTTTGCTGGTGGATATTCCCCTGGAAGAGAAAAATCCACAGGTTTGCTTGGTAAATTTTCACCGTCGGAAAAGCAACAGGGCAAAGAGATTATAGAAAATTAATTTAGGAAGGTTTGTATGTCTGGTTTGGACTGATTGACCAGCGGGCTGTCAGGCAAACAATTAACTTTGGGGTTTGTGTTTAAAAGGCCTCACACTTTTCACACACACATTTCATCATCATTTTCAGAAGCCATAAGTTGCATTTAAAAGGAATTTCATGTATCTTGGCTGTCTTGCTTCAGCCTGTGCCCACAGTGTCACACGGGACAAATCCACCTCCTGGCTAACAAGGTACACACAGGATCAGCACCCAAACAGCTGAAGCAACAATGTCTCTGTGCAAGCCTCTCCTGCTCTGGGTACAGCATCCTGAGATCCCTGTCTGGAGTGTCCCTGAGTATTTGGGCACTGTAAAAGTACAGTCTGGCCTCAACCCCACCCACCTGGAACAACATTCCTGCCAGAGCTGCCTATCCAGCTTTTTCACTCAAACACAACACGAAGAAAACAAAAAAGCTGGAAGCAGGGAACAGGCAAGGCACAAGATGAAAAATCAGTACTTAATTGGAAGTGAACTCATTATAATAAATTTAGAGATGCATATAGGTCCACAAACTGACTTTAAAATCACTAGAGAGCACTGTGGCCCTTCAGGAGCCTTGGAGCAGCACAGGAACTGATGACAGGAATCACCAGGACGAGGGGCAGAGCTGGTGCACCCACCTGCCAGGCACCACTGCTCTGCTGGAGTGATTTTTGTCTTTTCTTCAGTGGCAAGAGAGCAAAAAAGAAAAAACAAGTTGAAGTTTCCTTGAGCATTTCAGAGGCAGAAAGTACGTGCATGTGCAGGTTGATGCTGCTGGCAGTGGAAGAGGCAGTGGGTGGGCACTGCACCACAGGCCCTGCCTCTTCTGTCCTGGCAAATGTGGCAACCAGGACAGCAAGAATACCCCTTATCCCTCTGGGAAGTGTGTACAAAAATTCACAAATAAATCTGTTTAGTCGTAGTGGAACCAATTTATTCAAGAAACATCCAATTTCAAATTTAGCCAGAAATTGCAAGGACCTTAACTGATGCCTAAGTAAGTGTATTTTAACCTGTTAAAATCAAAAAGTCAAGCAACACTCCAACAGTAAACTTACTTGCTGAAGTTTTGAAGAAAAGCAGAGGATTGAACTGAGAGAAACCCAAGCTGAACATATGGAAGCAGAATGTAACAAAATGCTAAACCAAGTTTGGCAGTTGTATTTTTGCATTTTCTTGCAAATGCATAAAACACTTTCTAATGTTAAAATATTAATTAGTTCGACACAACCTCACTTGTAGCTAGGAAGCCTCCTGGGAGTTAAGTTTAAACAAGTAGAAACCCAAGTTTTCATCTTCCCTTGACAATGATTAAGGTCTACTCCTTGAAAAAAACTCTTAAAATATAAAAAGAATAGGATTTTGTTTGCCATTTAATTTTGCCATCGTTTTCCTTACTCCACATTTCCCCTTTCCATAACGAGCACTGTAATCATTAAGTGCTTTCAGTTAAATAGCTTAAAAAAATAAAAAAGGCTCATTTTAGTCCTCATACTCCAGTGATAAACTTAAATCTTGACCCTCAGCAGCAATGAAGCTCTAACCCCTTTGCAGTTGGATTTCTGTGGTCCCCACAAGGAAGGTTCCAGGTGGCACATCCTGGTGCTCAGGTCCCTTTCTGAGGCTCCCCAGGGCACAAGATCGGTCTCCCTCACACTGAAGTTTCAGAAGAACATTCCCAAACATTCCCATGAAAAGATAGAAAAGCCTAGGTCACAATGACCTTTCCAGTTATTTAGGGATTACTTCTTCTAACTTACAGGCTTTTTCAGTGCACTAAATAGAATTTTAACAGTAATTACCTCCTCGTTTTGTAACCTAACCAGAGGTTTTCATAAAATGCTTTACAGAAGCCAATGAATCCATCAGAGCTGAGAAATAACTGTGTATGTTCAATCTGAGACACACTGAAGGCATTTCATTTTCAGCAGACAGGCACTTGCCACTTTGCAAAAAAACCACATCTCTCAACTTCAAAGGAAATGAGTAACTACTCTGAAAAAATTACACAAAACTGGCAGGAGTGGCTGATATCCCAGAGGGTATATCTGATATTCCAGGGGCTTTATCTGCCATCCCAGAGGGTGGCCCTCCTTGAGCAGGGGGTAGAGAACAAAGGCTTTCCACAGCAGAATAACCAGCTTTACTCACCCCACATCAGTTTTGTTCTGGATGATGGTGATGTCGTCTGGAGAGAGCTCTGGAATCCACTTCTCCATCTCTTCCACCCAGGGGTACCTCAGAGAGGAAGGCACCACAATCAGGAGAGGCCACTCATTCTTGTAGTAATATGAAATGGCAATTGCTTGAATGGTTTTACCCAGCCCCATCTGGGAAAAGAAGAGCAAAGAACAAGATTAAACACAGAAGTCTCTGCTCAGAAAGCATCTTCCACTCACAAGAGCTGAAAACAATTTGCAAAGACAGAACCAGCTAAAGGAAAGCAAGTCAAAGAGCTCCTCACACAGCACCTGTTTAATCATCACTTGTTACCACAGATCATCCTTTATGGAACCTGATGTTGCTGTTAAAATGGATTATAACAACATTTGTTCTATCTGGTTTGCTCATTAAAGCCAAAAGAAGCATTTCCATTCTGTTTCAGAAGATTTTCAGTTCAGGGTCTTAATAGGACAGACCGAAAAAAAGGCCAAACTCTTTAACATGTTGAGGTACAAAACCCACTTTTTAAAAGATTATGCATAGGAAAGAAAAATATAGGATGCCTTTGTACATAAAAATAACTATAAATATATATATATATATATGTATATAACAAGAAAGTACTTGGTTCATGCTGTCAGGGCAGGAACTCTGCCCATGAATTATGACCACAGATAGTAACAGATGAATCCAATATCCAGAATTTGGGGGCTCATTCACATGGCCAGAGATGGTTCCAGACTCCTGGTAAACAGCAAAGCAGAGCCTGGCCTTAAAATCCTCTGTGCAGGTTTTCCAAGGAGCCCAGTGGATACTGGAGTTGATTTGCTGCTGTCCAACTACTGGCAGCAGAGACACAAACCAACCCCTCACATCTCCAGTGCTGAGTTTAGGTGGACTGATGGAATGACATAATGGAGAGATTTCCCAGGTGTAGAAGAAAACATAACAAATATTTCAAGTATTACTAAAAAGAGAAATAACCAGAGCTGCTGTGATACTAAGGTTTTGTTCCAAATTGCCGAGTTTTCATTAAAATTTTCCTGCAAGCTCCCCTTGTGTCACCAGGGGTTCTTAGGCCAGCTGAAAACAAATCCCGGTGAAAGAAAACAAACTAACAAAAAATAACATTAATTTTTAATTTGTTGCCACAGTTGTCTCCCTGATCAGACTGCCCCAGTGCCTGGTGATGACCCAGACAAGTGAGCTGAAAGGAGCAGGGGATAAAAGCAGGGCTCTTGGCATCAGTGCACCCAGGCCCATATCACAGCTTCCCTTCACATACAAACTCACAGTACTGGTATTTTCCTTCCCCAACATTCTCTTATTTTAGGGACAGTCAAAAAAGCTCAGGCTATCCCACTGCTCAATATTCCTCCAGTGCCAGACCTACTGTCATTACAAAATACACATTATTTGCTTGGCAATAAATACATCTTGCAGGACTTTTTATTGCTCACATAATTACCCAGAGCTCATTTTCTCATTCAAGGAGGGAAATAAGAGTTCCTTTTTTTAATAAACAAATATACTGCTGGTATTTTGATTTTTCCCAAGCTTCCCTTTTCTCTTCCCCTGAATACTTTTGTATTCCTCACAGTTTGCAGAAATTTCCCGTTCTGTGCCAGTTTATCTCCAGTTGTAATGAGATTTTTCTAGTGTGAGGAGATGCTTAAATCCCAGGAATCCATCTCTCTCTCCCTCCTGGTGTGCCAAGAAAACCCAAATTAGAACAGGGAGACTCTATCAATCCCTAACTATTACCCCTCTTCCAGAAAGGCTTTACACTGACAGCACAGCCAGAGCATTATTACAAAAATGTTTTATCTGTGGGAAGAAATGCTGGACTGAAGATTTCCCTGCTAGGGAATACAATGTGAATTTTCAAATGTAGGGAAGGAACGAATTTCACTTGATCAGCGAGTTCAAGAAAATTCCTCCTTGGAAACCCCTCCTGTTAAAAATCTCTTTGGACCAGGAATGTCCACAAATCCATTAAAAATGCAATGAGAAAGTGCTGAAAAGAAATCACCTGAATTAAAGTTTTTAAGATTTGAGAATTCCTGAGATTTGACCTCCCTAAATACAGTTCCAAGGAACCTTCTGAGTTTTCTCAAAGATTCTTTTCAAAACTCATGTCAGCACTGATTTTTTTCCTCACTTAGGTATTTCCAGAGTATCTGCTGACTATCCCAGGAATTGGGCTGCTTTCCTCACCAGCCTTTCTGCCCACATCTCTCAAACAAAAAAAGTCACCCCTGCACGAAGAACATTAACAATAAACGGTGTTAGAGGAACAGGAACATCACTCACCTCATCAGCAATCATACACCTGAAAAAGAAATGAAAAGAGAGGGGGAGAAAAGCAGAAATTAATACTGAATACAACAAATAAACCAACACTTACAAATGGATTACTACAAATTTAAGCTGTGGATTTGCAGAACCAACAAAAGGAAAAAGGTGATTTCATTCCTCCAGGTGTCAACTAAAAAAAAATTAATTTGGTCTGGATTTGAAAGGATGCCAATTGTTCCAGAAATGTACCTTCAATCTGCCAGCACTGCTGGAGAGCTGTCAATGGCAAAGCTGAACTGCTGCTTAGGTCTGATGATGCATGAAGTGTAACCTGAGGAGACATCTCCAAGGCAGGAGGTTCATCTTCAGGGGTCTTTGTCTTTCAGAAACAACAGAGCTTTGGTGCTTCGTGATTAAGGATTATTTACATGTCAGACTGATCTTTAAAATCTGCTTTCCAGAGCTGTCACATTTGTTTGGAAATAGCAGCAGACACTCCCTCTCCCCCACCAATTGTACCAGCTAAAGGATTAGAAGATGAATTTGATTTTTGGCCCATTTTGGAGTCACTTGGTAACAACTCCATGCAAAGACAATGACAATTCCAAGCCTCCAGCCTAGACTGGTAAATTCTGTCAATTTACATTTTCCAAACATTAAATGCCCCCTTTGATATGAATTTCTCAAAAGGGGCTTTGAGTTATTTAGTTTATTATGTACATTCTTAACTCAGAGAGGCTCTGGGGACCTTTGATGTTTCTAGCCCATGAAAGCTGCTTCATCATCCTGCAACTTGATGATCTTTAAGGTCCCTCCCAACCCAAACCACTCTGTGATTCCATGTGTACCCTCTGCCTGCCAGTGTGAATTCCAGTGTCTTTCTTTCAACTGAGGTAAAAAAATGAACTAAACATTAATTCTTACACAGCTCAGTTCTTTATAAATAACAAACCATGAACTTGCAATTGCTTTGGGGATGGTGCAATGAAAACAAAGGAAGAAAACACAACAAGAAAAAGCCCCCAAGTCTGCAGATTTCCCAAAAGAAAAAAAAAAAAGGCAGGAAGAGAATTATCTTTAGTGGCAACTCCTGAGTCTGGGGCGTTAATGCCTGTGATTTGCAGCTGGCCAAAGACATTTATTTGCAGACAACTGAGACACACTTCTAATTTTAAAATGGCAGGTTTTGCTCCAAGACTGATTTTTTTTTTTCATTCAATACTCATTGTTAATTGCTTGAGCTGAAGTTTACAAACCAAGCCTTTCTTTCTGCAGATTCTTGGAGGCCAACAGCACTGATGTGCTTTCAGTGCATCAATCATGCTTCTTAAAAACAGTTTAAGGCCTGAAATCAATTGGAATTCACAATAACTCACTGTTGTAACCTTACACAAATGCAGAAAATGAGTAAGACACACAGAGCAGAGTCATCTCCAGAATAAACCACAGAACTTCTTCAATAAAAATTATTCAGTATAAGGATATCAGAACACAAATGTTCCTTCCCAACTTGTGCTGACAAATACAGGATTTCCCAGCACATCAACTTCAATGTTAGCAGAACTGCATAAACAGTGCAATGGTAATTCAGACACACAAACCAAAGTGAGAACACACAAGATCCTGCTGCACTGGCCTTTGGCACATGGAGATCATTTGGACCCTCCTTTTTCCATTTCAGGATGAGGAGCTCCAGTGAAGAAGTTCAGAGCCATTTACCAATCACTCTGACAATTAGAACCCAAATAGCAAATAAACCAAAAAGCTTTAGAATTATGTCATCCACAGGCACAGATGGTTTCTTTTTCCATAAAACCAGACTTTTTTCTTTAGGGTGAACTGTAGCCACTTCAGCTTTGATGACTTGAGTATCTGCTGGCCACTAAGAAACTGTGGTGGTTTTCTTCCTGCCCTCCTTTTCCCACTGCACCCATAAACCCTTTGGTGCTCCAGAGCATCTTATTTTCCTGGCTATTCACTGCCACTTCACATGTCTGAAGTGAAACTTCTCAGGGAGCAGCAGCAAAGCTTTTTAAAGCTCCAGTTAAAGTATCCGAAGGTGTCAAGCCCTCTGCTGTGATACATTTAGCAACGTGAATCACTGCTTTGATCCTCACACTTCACACTCCCAATTCCTGAAGTGCTCCGCCTTTTAAATTGCTAATTTATGCCAATTAATTAACGTTATTGACACTTGCACTTGATACAATTTTGACATGGCACACGAGGTTGAGTTTATGACACAGGTAGGAGTTAATCAAACTAACGTCAGTGGAAATGGCAATGGAGGATATTCCATTTATTTTATGACATAGTGCATTTCAGAGCATTCCTCTTGTGTAGCTTTCACAGCTCAAAAAATAAGAATCCTAAAGATGCCTAATGCAGTTACAAGAGGTAAGTCCAAGTTTTTCCCATTGGATTCTAGGGCAATGACAAATAGCTTATATTAACGAGAGGAAAATCGTCGAGTGTTCCCAGTTTACCATCACAACAACTCGATTTGAAACGTAAAGAACTTGCCAAGAGAACTCACAAGGTGTCTGATAGTTGCACTAAGCAGTTAAAAAGCAATACTTTATACATAATCTCAGCAATATGCAGCCTCTATTTAAACCACCCCTCAGTACATTCTCTGTGATTGCAGCACGGCCAGAAAGGTTCCACGCTGTCAGAGCAGAAGAAACAGACCTTCAGCTGCACTGAAGGGACAGATCTGTATTTTTGTGTCGCATATTTTGACTGCAAGAAGACAGACTTCTTGTTCCCTGAAGTTCAATTAGTCATTTCCTCTCAACTGGTAGTTACCCAATCTGAGCTTCATCATTCATGTCCCATCTGTTCATGTGACACCTTAATAATAGCTCCATCCAAGAATATAAATCAGAGCTATGATACACACATTCATATCCTGTTAGAAGCTCAGCCCACATGGGCAAAAGTTTCAGAGAAGCATGGAAAAAATATCATTTTGGATGTCTCAGTGGCACTTGCTCTCGGCAGCAAAGTCCAGCCCTGCAAAAAGCACCACAGTCAATGGTAAATTCTTTCAGATTTCCCATTGAATTTTTAAAGGTTTCCCTTCTTCAGAGCGAATCCTGGGGCTTGTACTTGAAACTCTGTCCATTCATCAAGGGAATCTGCTATTTTTTCCTAGCAGGAAGCACCAGGATCTCATTGGGATGCTGCTACAACCTTCCCACTGTCCACAACCCTGCTGCAGGTGCAGGGTCAGCAGTGGCTCTGGACACAGGAGGATCCTGCATCAACAGGAGGGAACCATAGTTTGGTCTCTGCTAGGATTTAACAGCCCCTTCATTTTGAGATGTATTAGCTCTAAAATAAAACCACATTTTCCTTTAAAATGCAAACTCAGAGAGTCACAGGCTGGTGAGTGAATGTGCTGGTTCACCTCAGGTTCATAGAGCTCCCAAACCCTGTGCTGATCCCCACCCTGAACAGAACAAGTGCAAGCACCTGAGGCTACACACAAAACCCATCACTGTGTGTCAGGAATTCTTCTAAATGTAGAGAATCCCTTAATTTAAGGGAGCACACAGGGCTGGATGAGTCAGAACCAGATTCCACAGAACAGTGTCTTGTAAAGGTGTGGAGCACCAAGCAAAGGTGCACTTACAGATTTTCACTGCCAAACCTTGGAGAGAAACCACAAGTAAGCAAAAAACAGGTGAAGGAACCAAGAGAGAAACCCAAACCTGAGCCCTCTGAAAGCTCTCCTCAGGAAAGCTCTGTCTCTGGAAGGACAGAAGGAGCAATTTCTCAAACCTCAAAAGAACCCAGAAAAAGCTCCTGGTTGTGGTGATGTCAAGAAGATTGGAATCAACTTTGCAAAGCAGAAGGAGGAACAGATCTTGCAAATTTTCTGCAGATGAACTCATTGGAGAAGCAGGAGGAAACTGAGGCTAAGCTCCTGTGGCATATGCCATCCAGGCACACAAAAATAGACTGCATCAGAGAGGGTAACGCTCAGAGTTTCACAGAATGAGTTTCGGGGAAGAACAAATGTTTAAATGAAAGCCATTTCTATTTCTGTGTGTCTGGGTTACAGTCAGGTCACCCCTTCCGAAATGTCAGCACTATGAACCAAGCAAAGAATACAGGTGAAGTCTCTTGTGTTAATTATGGCTGCTTCAGCAAGGGATCTGTGGAGAAAGAATCTCAGTTTGCACTCTGCTCTTGCAGATATTGATATATAATACTGATTATATAATATTGATTAGCAGCACACTAGCACATGTACAAGGTCTGTATAACCAAGGATCCCCCCGAATCATGCAGGTGGTGACAGAGGCTTCTTGGAACTACAGAAACATTTTGCAGTCATATCCTCTCTGAACTAGACAGTTGTGCTTCCTCACGTGGAGGACTAAAAGCCAAAGGGGCACAGCAATCCAATACACCTAATTGCTTGCTGGTGGGGATAATTTACCTTCTTGATTGATTTTCAACACCCATTTACCCAGAAGGAAAACAACAGTCAGAACTGCAGGTAGCTTTGTCAGAACAAACTCCTTTCCTTTTAAATGCACTTTCCAAGGCAAACAGTCCAAGCAGTAGCACTTAATTTTTTAAAACACTGACAAATTTTGTTACTACTGCAGGCAGTGAGGGCTGTTTTTTGTTAATGCAGGCTTTGGGAACATGTTGTACAGAGGAAGCTCACGTCTTTCTTCCACCAGTGTGGGTGTCCTGATATTCTTGGGATTCTCACCTACTCATGTGAGTCAGTTTTATATAACGCTACAACATATAATTTGCCTCCTACTCACAAGCCAACACTTTAGCACTACCATCTTATCCCAGGGTTATTTAAGGAATCTGAACTTGGAAGGTTTTTATGTAAAACTGCGCAAGCGGCCGCTCCGTTTGTGTGTCAGTAATCACAGCACGGCCCGAAAACTGCGACCCAGAGCCGCCCTCCCTGCAGGAATCAGCAAGGTTGTGTCGCCAGAAATAGTGCTCCAGGAGATGGAAGATAGGCTGTGCCCCTGCTCCTGAATGACACCATTTAAA